GCTCACAAGGCACGCGGGCTCTGGTCGTCTGTGCTTGTGTGAACTGGCGCTGGGCAGTCTCTGTCCCCTGCTTCCTTACCAGGAGGCCGGCTCTTCACCCCACGCACTCCTGGTCCAAACAGGGCAGACAGTAGAAGGAACCACACCTACCGACATTTTAACCTCCAGGGGGAAGGGGGAGGTTCGAGCATCTTTAAGCCTCTTGGTGCTATTTCTTTTTTCAATACCAATTCCTTTGTTAATTTCTAGTTATTTTCTCAAAGCAGGGTATGGTCTCCATATCTTGGAAAACCTACTTTTGCTGCCCACTTTTCTGGATTAAGAACAATAAAAGGGTTCTGAGGATATGACTTAGCCAGTTGTTGACTTTGCACACTAATGAGGAAAACAGTGAGACACAGCTGATTGTAAATGATCCACTGTATCGCTCAGGAACACAGTCAGAAACCTATGCGCACGGGCAAAGCAACCTTCCTGCGCGTTCAAGCCCGCGCCTGTCTGTGCACCTGAGTGGACAGCCTTCCAACAGGCGACTGGAAATTGGATGCTGGCCACGCTTTTCCAATCAGCATGGTTCGCTGTTTTTGAGTGAGTGTTCATTTTTCTAAAGGCTATTTTGATGAATGGGAACCCTGGTCAAGGTCAACACGAAATAAAGAAGAAAATTTGATTTGGAGAAAGGAGAAAAACCTGGTGTCCCAGCTGATTCTCAACTTGGCCTCAAGGTCAGGCCAAGACGTCAGACGTCCGTTTCCCCGCTGTTAACACCGCGGCGGAAATGGCCATCCATCTTCCCTGACAGGCTTTATTAAGGACGAAACATGTAAACCATCCACCCTTCCGGCAGTGTGTATGACAGGCAGCTCATTCCCGCTGGGTGCCCGTCGTAACAAGGTTGAGGAAACGCTGGAATTGTGAATAAATTCTCCAAAACAACCACACCGCACTAAGACCTGGGAAAGGCATGGAGCTTATTGCTGACTGATTTCTCCAGACGAGAAAAAATAAAACCACGTTTTTAAAAACAGCCCAGGTGGCTGACCCATGTTTCTCCTCGTGTGAAAAGCCCCCCTGGAGGTCCTACCAACCCACCGCTCCACGGGGACTCGCAGCCACACACGATCCTACTTCTCTTCTCTCTTTTCTTTTTTCCCCGACCGGAGGCAACTATGTAAGTTGCAGATCTTTATAAATCTCTGGAAAATGAAACCAGGCACTTGTCTCTTCACATAGGAACCTTCCTTGGGGCAAGTTGGACGCCTGCCGTGTCCCTGCCGAGCCATCACCGCAGACGGACCAGCAGACCGATTGGACGGCTCGCCTGGCCCACCGAGATGGCCTCACAGCGCTCGGTGGAGTATGTACTTGTTACTAATAAAATATGGGAACGACTGGTCAACTCACTCGCCGGGGGCATTACGCTCCATCTAGAAACTGTAGTAAAAGCTGGTTAAATCATCCCTGAGAGGTCTTTGAAGAGTGTCATTTAAAAATAATCCTGAAGCATATTTTTTCTGAGTACTTCTGAAGGATCTGTTAAGCACACAGATGTCAGTTGGAGAGGGGACAGTGGTGACCAGATGTGCATGACGAGTTGTGTCCTAGGAAGGCCAGGGCTTTGGGGAGACAGACAGGAGTTTTTACTCCTGGTGCCAGCGCTTATTAACCATGTGACATGGGCACGGCGCATCACTCTCTGTTAACACCGCTGGATAACAATGCATACTTGGCCGGTCTGTCATGAGAAAAATGCAGGAAAAAATATAAGGAATAAAATCAACACAGCGTAGCAAAACAACCACAATTGCTATGATTAGTATGATTATAAAACGCGACTGGAATTTCTAACGCAGGTAGATCTGTTGACTTGTGTGTGAAAGTTCAAGGACAGATGTCATTCATTCAACATGATTAGTTTTGTGCCCACTGCGGGCAAGGCACTGGGTCAAGTGTTGAAAACAAACCAGGACCCAAACTGGCAAGTTATCTGATCTTGAGGCTTATAGACTCTCGGAATATGAACACGTGGACAACTGCAAGGATGTGGAACACACACTTCATGAGATCTGTAACAATGCCGTTGAAGTTTGGACCTGCCGGAGGGAGAAATGATGAGGGGATAGGACAGACAGCCCTAGGAAAACTTAGGAGAGGGGATCAAGGATGCACAGAGCAAAAGTAGTGTAGGGGGAATGAAGTCTGAACTGAATTATCACCTGTGGAGCTGATCTGGGAACTGGCATGGGGCGTGGTGACGGGAGGGGGCATCCGAGATGGGGCGGGGCCAGGAGGGCTGGATGATGAGATGGCCCCTCGGAGCAGGGGTGACTAGTCCAGGTGAACAGGTGGACCACATGACGTCATCACAGAGCTTAACCAACGGGCTAGGGTTGGGGTGCTTCCATGTCTCTAAAAGGAATTAGCCAAAGTCTGGATTGACTTCAAGGTGAGGTAGATGTGTGTGTGCATTTAGTTATATATATATAATGAAAATGATATATATATAATAACAACAGTAATGATAATGTAACAATGACACCGCATTTAAGATTTCTGAGTATTCGTGTTGCAGCTAGTGTTCCAAGTGCTCTTCATATAGGAACTAATCTTCACAACAAGTAAGAAGGGATAGCATATCCCCGCTACCTGGGCTCCCCGAGTTGACACAGGACGAAGTAGTGAAGTCGGGATTCGAACCCAGACCGCTGGCCCCAGAGTCCTCGCCGGAGGCTCACAGCACGCCACCTCTCAGCAGGAACTCACTTGAACTGAGCCCTGCGACATGCCAGCCCGGCTGAGCACCCCACATGTGCGTCCCGTGACCCCACAGCACTCGGGTGTGGCACGTGTGGGCTAGAGCTGCGGCTGCTCTTCCCTTTAGTTTGTTTTCTGTTTTCCTCCACAAAGCGTGTTTTTCCATGAGAAATCTTTTTTTTTTTAAACCTCATCCAAGGACATTTTTCCACGTTTGGTTGAGATAGAGTGGGAGGGAGGGAGAAAGAGAGAGAGAAACATCGACGTGAAGGGACACATCGAGTAGCTGCCACCCGCACGACCAACCAGGGCCGGGGACAAACTGCAACCGCTGTACATGCCCTTAGTGGGAACCGAGCCCAGGTCTCTCCAGACCGCAGGCTGATGCTCTAACCGCTGAGCCAAACCGGCCAGGGCCGTGAGAAATTTTGCATAAAATTGCACGAGTGTGGTTTCTCTTCATTAGGTAAAGATCGGCGACACTGAGCCAGGACTCCTGCCCATGGGCCCTGTCCTCTCCTCCCCACCGTGGCCCTCACTGCCCCTGCCCACACCTGACTCAAACTTTAAATCCTGTCTGGTCCCTGGGGGCACTTGGCAGGTGCCCAGGACATATCTATCTGTGTGGGAAGGGCTGGAGCTCCGGCCCAGGTCGCAGAGCCCAGCTCAAGTCCCTGGGCCAACACTTACAAGCTCTGGTTTACTTAATCTCCTTAAGCCTCTTTTTACCCCTCCAATCTAAAATAGATTTACTAACAGTACTTAACTCAGAGTGTGACAGAATAATTAACTGAGATAATCCATGAAATGCATTAAGCTTGGAGTTCAATAATCATTGGTTATTGCCCTTTTTATTAGAAACAGTAGGAGGTTAGTCAAGTAGGACCCGACACGGACTGGAGGGACAGCTGGGGAGCCGAGGGAGAATCCCATGCACTTCGGGACCCCATGTCTCTCAGACAGAACCACTCCCCAGTGACGGCGCCAGAGAAAGGTCCAGTCTGGGGGGCAGGGCACACCCGGGGTCGGTCACGGGTGCGTCTTCCTACATGATCTGTCTGTGTAGCTGAAATGCACCGTACTGAAATCCGAGGCAAGGATCCGGGGTGCCCTTCCTCAGACACACTTTGGGCTCTCGGTGCACCCCCACACCCATTCCCGGGGCACCGCCCTACTCTCGGCCCTCGGAACCCTGTGAGAAGTTGACTGATTAACCTCTTTGCCTTCAATCTGCCGCCAATTCAATCCCCAGGGCACGGTCTCAGCACTAATAAGTAGTTCTCACACTTGTTAACACTTCACCTGGCTCTCCACTGCCTGCAGGATAAAAGCTAAATACTCGAGCCACACTGCGGCCCGGCGTGGTAACGGGGTACCCGCCTATACTTCAGCCTGTCTCCCCCAAAGGCCTGTGATCCTCTGCCCCCTTGTCTGTTCTCCCACCAGCACGCTGACTGGCCCTGCGAACCCGTCACACATTCGTCCCACACGCGGTCAGCCAGGTCCTTTCCGCGCAGCCATTTCGCAGGGCCCACCACCAGCCACGGTTTGCCGAAAACCTTCTCCAAAGGGCCGAGAGTCAGTCTGTCAGGATTTTCGGGCCATCTGGTCCATCTGTCCGCACTATGCGCCCTGCCCCAGGGCACTGAGCAGCGAGGACCACGCCCACAGACATGCGGGGGGCCAGGTTCCAATATAATTTATTATGGATGCTGAAGTTTAAACTTCACGTAATGTTCACGGGTCACACAACACTATCCTGATGTCTTTCAACCACTTAACAACGTAAAAACATTCTTAGCTTGTGGGCAGGACAGCAACAAGCAAGGCCATGGCAGGTGCCAGTCTGCGGGTCCCTGTTCCAGGGCACGCTGGTGGCTGACCCACAGCGTCCCTCGGCGCCTTGTCCTGGAGGAATGACCCACACTTACAACCTGCAGTGCACCTGAACGTTCACGTGTACGTGCAAACATGTTGCCACCACACAGATCAGGACAAGAAACATCTCCAGCACCTCGGCCTGTGCAGACAGCCCCACTACAGTCTGCCCTCTGTGCTTTCAAAGCAGTCTCTCTCCTGTCCACAGGCCTGCCCCCCAGGGACGAGGCCCCGGCCGGACTGCTAGTTTGGGGTCCTGCAACGTGAAGTGAGACCGGGCACCGCTAACCGTCAGACACACAGAAGAGTCTGTGAGAGACTCGGAAAACGCACAGTCATGGTCCCGGGCGGTCCCAGCGCGTGCTTACCTGGGCCAAGGTGAGCGTTGCTTGCCGGCAGCTGCTGCAGCGCACCCTGAGCTTTCCAGGCCGCACCCCTTCACAGGGGCCTTTGCAATAGACGTAAAAGCTGCTGTGGGCCGGTCTGCCTGCGGGGGGAGCAGAGGAAGCCGATCAGTGGGGAGCCAAACCGAGGCACACTGGACAACTAGCCCCTCAGAGCATTCGGACACATTAATGGGATAAATATTCCAGTGAGGATACAACAATTTAATTTGGAAAATCTAGTCTTATGCTCAAAAGAGGGGAAACCTTTCCTTCTTGCCAGCGGCCCTGTGACTGAGCCAAGGAAGCGACCTGCTGGCCACGGGTGCCGTGACCCTGGGAAACTGAATGCGCCCTTGCTGCTGGGGTCTTCGGAAGGGTGGGAAGTGTAGGGACTGCTGGGAATTTAGAGACCAGTGCTCCGAAATTCTATTTCGTGCTTCTGAACACAGTTTTGAAGGCTCCAGATTTTTCCCTTTAAAATCTTATCTATAGGGACGCGCCAGCCCATCTCTCGTGGTACAAATATCATCCCGGTTTCTGGGTTTCCAGGGAAGGCTTTTCAACACGTGCTCACCCAGGAAGAAAGACAAAGCCCCAGGGGCTGACCAGGCAGGGGCGCAAACAGGGCTTTGCATTTCATCAGGGCTCTCGACCAGGACATGTGCCACTAAGTAACAGTGTCAGGAGTCAGAGCTGGGAAAAACAAAGCCACCACCACCCGGTAACTAGGCATCTCTGGTCCTTTCTGTCAAGTGCCGCCAAACGGGAACAGGACTACTCCCCGAATGAGGGGGCGCTGCTAGAGGGTTTCAGCTTCCATGTCTGCGAAGAACTGACGTTACTCAGACGCACCGACCAGTCAAGTAACCACCTCGACACATGCCTAAGTTTCTAAAATTACTAAACGCTTCTTTTCACCCTTACCTTACTTCTCGCTGGGGAGAAATGACGTAAGGTCATGGCATAAAATTCTGTGTAAAAGTTTGCTATTATCATCAAGAGCATCTGGAAATAATATGTAGTAAGTGTTGTTGATCATGGTGAGTGAAAACCTTTAGACTCCCAAATGCATATGGTTTGTTAAAAACAATTAGTATAAAAATAATGAGAAAACCACAGTGATACCTCGGTTCTCGAACATAATTCGTTCCAGGAGGACGGTCGAGAACCGAATTGTTCGAGAACCGAAGCAATGAAACCCAATAGGAAAGCGGACTCCACAAAGCGTGACTCTCTCTCTGCACTCACACTGACGACGCAAGCAAGGCGCGCTGGGCCGAATGAACGCCATTCGGCTCATCTCGGCTCATCTCGGAAGTTCGAGTTCCAAATATTTGTTCGGATTCCGAGACAAAAGTTTCTCGAATCTCCTGGTCGAATACCGATTTGGTCGAAAACCGAGGCGTTCGAGAACCGAGGTATCACTGTAGTATAAAAATAATGAGAAAACCACAGAAAGATCCCAGAGTCCTAAGAAGCTCCATTTGTTTCACTGATTTACGAAAAGACCCTTTGTAGACAAGTGGACTGCCATTCACTCAGCCGTCATTACTAGCATCATAGCCGGCAAGACTTTGTAGAGTGCAAAGCACAACCAAGATGTCAGGTTTCGTAATTTTATCATTTATTGGCAATGCGTTTTATAATCATTTGTCTCCAGAGATTGTTATTTGACTTTCGGGTTCCAGTGTGAAAGAATGGATCTACATATATCTTTGTGTGATAAAGAAACTATCATTTTCTGACACTTTTTTGTAACTCTGCTGCCTTAATGTGCAAGATATTCAAATCGATGAATATCACAATTTTATTAGCAATATGATAATCACGTAAAACCTATTCTTAAGGTTTTAGATATATCGGAAATGTAACAGATAGAACCATATATTAGAGTTGTAAAAATAGCCCGGCCAGAGTGGCTCAGTGGTTGAACACTGACCCAGGCAGCAGGAGGTCAGCGGTTTGATTCCTGGTCAGGACACATGCCCAGGTTGTGGGCCTGATCCCCAGTGGGGGGCGTGCAGGAGGCGGCCGATCAATGTTCTCTCTCATCGCTGTTTCTCTCTCTCCCTCTCCCTAAAATCAATAAAGAAAAAAATATTGAAAAATAAATAAAGTTGTAGAAATACCATAAGAACGGACAGAATAGCAGAAGATCACGAGGACTGTGACAACCTGAACATGTACCAAGATGAGCCTGGTGAAGGCGGCCGAGGCCTTTATTGCTAAAATATTATTCAGCAATAAGAACCAATCCACTTTCACAATTTTCATAACCTACTTTAAGGTTGAACGATAAACAAAATAGAGGCAGGAAAGGAAAGGGTCACGGAAACGCGTACAAAGGGAGCTGGAACGAACGCAGCAGCAGTTTGAAAGGAGGAGCTGGAGCATCTCAGAAACGGCATAAACTAAATGACTCTCTCTCCCTCGGGGCAACAGCGACGTCAGCAATATTGTTTCAGCTAATGATACGTCCAGACAGAATAGGAAGACTGGAGAACCCGCCCACCTCTGCACGGGCAACCTCCACTGAAGTCCTTGAGAAGTTAGAGAACACCGGTTGCCAGTGCCCCTGCCCTCGGAGCCTTCAGGATGACATGCCATCTATTACACGGCGCTTCCCAGAGTCAGCCGCTGGCTGGGGCTGATAGTCCCAGGAAGATCAAGGTCAGGCCAGACCGGGCTACAGCAAATTTCAAGCTGTTGACTCTACTTGGTCGAGCAGCTGGGGCTGCAGGTAAACCTTGAACCTTTTCTCAGAGTGGCTTCCCTTCCTATTTCGCTACCTCGCACTATTTGAAGCTGGCAGGCTTCCCTGTGTCACGCTGAGCTCCAAGTGCACAGGACAGGACAGGAATAAAAGCAAACAAACACCCTGGCCTGGCCAGTGTGGCTCAGTGGCTGAGCATCAACCCATGCACCAAGAGGTCGCCAGTTCGATTCCCAGTCAGGGCACATGCCCAGGTTGTGGGCCCGATCCCCGGTGGGGGGCAAGCAGGGGGCGGCCAATCAATGTTCTCTCTCATCAATGTTTCTCTCTCTCTCTCCCTCTCCCTTCCTCTCTCTCTAAAATCAGTAAAGAAAAAGAAAAAGAAAACGAACAAACACCCTGATGGTGGTCCTCTGGGCCGTGTTCCCAACGGCCTGCCCGCAGGTCTAAGGGACAGACTCTTCGGTATTGAGCCACAGCACCTGAGGCGGCAGCAAGGTGACTCTGAGATGCAGAACACCTTTCTGCAGGTGGATAGCTGTCTGCAGGCACTAAGGTGAGCCTCGCCCCTCGGACTTGTGTTTGGATCTTAACATCCTTTTTCTCTCCTGGTCAGCTCTTCCGCAGGGTGGCCCTTCCCACTCAAAGTGCAGCCTGCGTTTGTAGATTTCCCTCTTGCAATTACAACACGTTTTTGAGGCTACAGAAATATTTCAAACTTTTTCCAATTATGCCCTTCACTGGGATTTACCAGTTGTGAACATGTTGTGGAGTGTACTGTCGCATGTGCAAACACACACCTACACTGCACAGAACTACTTCTTCCCGGAGTCATTTGTGATTAAGCTGCAGATATTATAGTGCTTGCTCCCCCCTAAGTCCTCAAACATCCTTTAAAATAATGACTTTTCGCCCTGGCCGGTTTGGCTCAGCGGTTAGAGCGTCCGCCTGCGGTCCGGAGAGACCCGGGTTCGGTTCCCGCTAAGGGTATGTACCTTGGTTGCAGTTTGTCCCCGGCCCTGGTTGGTCGTGCAGGTGGCAGCCACTCGATGTGTCCCTTTCACATTGATGTTTCCCTCTCTCTCTCCCTTCCTCTCTCTCCCTCCCACTCTGTCTGTACAAAAAATGGAAAAATGTCCTCGGGTGAGGATAAAAAAAATAAATAAATAAATTTAAAAAAATAAAATAAAATAATGACTTTTCTCCCGAAAATAAAACAAAACCATGGAGCCTTTTGAGTGGTCTGTGGTTTCCGTGGCCCTGGCCATAGACTAATCAAGTCCTCCGCGTGTGCCTGACAGCACCCTGCGTGGGTGCAAGCTGTCCGCAGGCGCCGAGCCCAGAGCCGGGAGACTCCTTCCACAACGGCGAGGCCCCCACTGCAGGGCTGCCAGACGCTCAGGCCAGCGGCCACAGGGCACAGTGCACCCCCGCCCTCAGCGGGCCTCGCCTTGCTTTGGTGGAGCATTCGGAGACCCTGTATGTCTCAAAAAAAAAAAAAGAAAGAAAGAAAGAAAAGAAAAAGTTGAAGGAAGGATTCGACTCACTGTGTGGACTTGATCTAGCCAAACTCCTAATGTTTATAAATCTGGCTTCATTCGATTCTTCTCTCCATCCCAAGCCATCAATACACTTACATAATTATTATACCACGAGCCAGGGGGCTAGTCTACTGATGTGATGATTTCACAGAGTAAAGTATATTCACTTCATCCTGAAGCTGTTTCTTCTCCATAGAGGTTAAAGGCAGTTCATGATCAAGACCCTCTGAGGTGCGGGTCACGGTGCACTGGTAGAATCTCCCCTACTCCCTAGGAGGCCAGTGTGTCCGTCATTGTCATCACTTTGTCTGGTTAAGACGATCCTTAATCCAGCCTCCTCTTCTCCTTATTCTCTTTCCTTGACCCAGAAATTGCCAAGAGCATTAACAATATTCACAACATACCGAGTAAAGCCCCTATTTAAAATAATATATATTTGCTTTGATGTGTTTTTTTTTTTTGAGAAGCCAACATGACCTGTACAGTTTTCATTTTTCTTTTACATATTTTAATAATGAGCTTAAGGCCTAAAGCCATTGCTTTAATAAGACAAATGGATACTTAAGAAAAGTCCTCCTGATTCTGATGAAAACTCTTCATTAACCTCAGGAGATCTCATCACCGCTTGTCACAAAGAATCAAGAGTTTAATTGCTCGGGGGATCTGTTCCCTGGTGGTGGTGAGACAGTGAGATTCTGCACATGTATCAGCTACAAGCCACCACGTCCCCTCAGCTTACCCTCCTCCAGTCTCTTAGACGGTGACCTCAGTCTTCTTGCACGTCTACGAGCAAGCACATTATGAGATGGGCCCAAAGTAGAGCATCTTCTCCCAACATTTGCCAGAATCCCTGCT